CGCCGAACGGCCGAGCCTAGGAGAGTCGCGTGACTCTCGTAAACCGACGCAAGTTCAAGGATCCTGGAAAAAAACAAAACATGAAAAGGAAAAACATATACATAACAGAGACAGCGCTCAACCCAGCTCCAGCTGCTTTGTCGCGGTGAAACCACGAGACGGAGTGCCCACAATCGAAGTACAACACCTTAGATAATGTTACACCACCCCCAACATCACTGGGCACTTTTCACTTCAGGAGCAGAGCAGCTCACCACAGAGCTTCGCTCTGGGAGCTTCTGCGCACATAGCTCCAGCTTCTTCTCACCAGCGGCAGCGGCGGGGATTCGCTGGCTCGGAAGGCGAGAGCAAGCAGATCCTCCGAGCTCCCCCTCCAATCCTGATACACAAGGGGTACCAGGGCACATACACCCGCACGCAGCAAGTCCTTCCACCGCCGCCCCTCGGCAGGGAGAAACAGGGAAGAGGGAAGGGTGAAGAAGAAAATGCCTCTTCTAGAGCCCTGCGCTGCCGCATGGCGCCTGCCCGCGGAGACCTGGTGTTTCGGCCATTTGTTGCGGTCGTTCCTTCCTGAACACACCTCCCATCCACCCAGTACTACACCCCCCTCCCCCTAACAAACGCGGCACATTGCGGGCGCCACCCCTGATGGGCTGAACGCAGGAGGTGGATGATGGGGCCGAAAAGGGGGAATGTTGAAAAAGGAAACGAGATAAGAACACGTGGTTTTGCCTTGTACGCTGGCCTGCTATCTACATTCGGCTGGCACCACCTGCGAAATCATACAAAGCACTGAGGACGCTCGCGTCGGACGCTGCCCGCGCCAGGACATGACAGGATGGCGAGATTTCGGATGCGAGAGAAAGCTGTAGTTCAAATATACTGCGGGGCGGCCTGGATGTGGCTCTTCTTGCAAGCTGTTCACATAAAACTAACGAGTTGCCGTAGCGCCTCAGCCGACCACAAGCACAACACTCGGACGAAAAAATGCTGCCGCAAGGCTTCAGCTGCTTCTCCTGGCGGCCGTTGCACACGGTGCGGCCGTGAGCTCCTGGATCAGTCGCTGCCTCGACTTGGTCATTGTGTATTCTCCTCTGCGCTGTAACCCCCCGTTTTTTGCATTATGCCGTCGGACCCCACGTAGGCTGGCCGATTCCTCTCATGCGCCGCGCAACCTGAAATCTTCCAGATGAGAAGGTCTGCGCTGAGATCTGACAGCATGCCTTGAAGGACTGCCGTTTGCTCCTTCAACCCCTGGGCCCAAACGGGTTTCCTCTCCTCCACACGGATCTGTGTAACTGGTCACGCAAGCACTCGCCGAAAGAGCTGGCGAGGTACATTTCGAAGCCGTCGAACTTCTCGTGCTGGACTCGGAGATCCTAGGACGTGCCCCGCTCCCTCTTTTTCGCCGAGCCGAAGTCTGCAAGCGCTTGGCTGCAACTCCTCGGGCCGTTTTGCTTTACCACCAACCTAATGCCGCGCAAGGTGCTGTCATTGACCTCGCTGTTGGGCGATGGGCCTCTGCGCCGACGCCCTCCTCGTTGCCTCCTCTTCGCCTCAGCGGGAGTCTTGGGGAGAGCATTTGTTCCGCCCACTAGATCTACATGGAGGCCTGTGTTGCGGTAGGCCGTCTTCCCCGAAGTTGCGTTCGCCCCCGCAAACTTCTTGGTAAGGTCGGGCCGCACCATGTCCAGGCGCGAGTCGACCTCCTCCGTGAGAGCATCAGATTCGGCGACCGGCGCCCATGATGGGCGCCCCTAGAGCGCCGATGTTGCGGCCGCCGCAACTGTTCGCAGGAAGACCTGAGCCACTTCCATGGCGCAGGCTGCAACGAAAGACCGTGCCAGTTAAAACAAAGGTATGTTTCGGAATCGGACACGGCTTGAGCCAAAATGGTTACGGATTGTCCCTCCCCCTCCACCTCCTCCTGCGCCTCGTCTTCTTCCTCCGTCCCTTGTAAGCAACTTTTCCTTGTCGCACCCCGACGCCCGTTTTTAGGGCGGGCGCGGCGTTTCGCCTGACTTCCTCACCACTTATGACTCTGAGGCTTTAAAAGGAAACAGCTTCACAGATGGAAGGCGGGTGGCTTTCGAAATGCGGCTGTCGCTTTTGCGCCGCGCGCATTCGTTTAACAAAACGTGCAAAAGTTTCACAGATTGCAAGCGGGTGGATTTCAATACGTGGCTGTCGCCTTAGCGCCGCGAACATTCGTTCTTAACGTTTGCAAGAGCTTCACGGATTGAAAGCGGGTCGTTTCCAAACTGTGGCTCTCGCCTTGGCGCCGCGCACACTCGAAAAACATCATCCCACTGCGACCCTATCTGGGACTTGGAGCCCCTAGGAAAACAACATTAGCAGGAGCGGTAAACGACGTCCTCCTCCCTCCCCTCATCGTCGCAGTTGTAGCAGTAGCGGTAGTAGTACTAGTAGTAGTAGTAGTAGTAGTAGTAGTAGTAGTAGTAGTAGTAGTAGTAGTAGTAGTAGTAGTAGTAGTAGTAGTAGTAGTTAGTAGTCGTAGTAGTAGTAGTAGTAGTAGTAGTAGTAGTAGTAGTAGTAGTAGTAGTAGTAGTAGTACTCGTAGTAGTCCTAGTAGCGCCAGAACCGCCGACGCCACGCCGCAAGCGAAGCAGCAGCAGAAGCAGGCAGCAAGTCGCCGAAACTGCAGCAAAAGCAAGCAGGCACGGAGATGAGGGCGGGGCACTGGGGAGTTCACGTCGCCCCTCTTCGCGGGAGAAACCAGCTCTCATGCACGTGACGATCACCACTCCCAAATGCACGGCACGGAGTGCCAGCACATGTGGTGGCTGCACTGTTCGTGCGTCGTGGCGCCTCCTCTCTGTGGACTCGTGGCCCTTCGTTCACGCTTCAAGTCTTTGGTTCCAAGATACTCGGGTCGGGATCGGGCCCCCGCCGAGGGCATCAGGCCCCTTGCCTTTGTGGACGAGACGGGGCCTCAGGTCGCGCTCGAACTCGGCTCAAGGCGACCCTGGCACACTGTGGCTAGAGTGGCCCACGCAACTCTGTGATCAAAGTCGCTAATGGTCGGCGTCGTCTCTGATCTTTCTGTCGCACATTCCATGAAGAGCAGAGAGGGGACACCTCTTCCTGTCGAGGGTTGGGCGTCCACGTGAGCACCGAAACTGCCGCACGCAGTGTTTGAAAGTCTGGTGCGTTACACGCAGCACCTTGCACTGTCAACCACCGATTCACGGCCGCGATGGAACTGAACGTCTCTGCAGGTTGTTCAACACTGCTTGGAACATGGTTCTCCGAAGGATGCTCAACACTGGTTGCTGGGTCTCGTGCCTCGCCACTTGAGGTCCGCAAGAATGCCCGCATGACGCCATACACTGCTGCACGCTCTTGCGTGGCTCTGCGAGTCCCCGGCGAGGCTGAACGGCAACGAGGAAGAAAGGCATTACGACGCGGTGCTGAACAAATACATGCACACACACACACGCACACACACACACACACATGCAGCATTTCACATGGGTGTTATGTATATATACACATATATCTGCATATATAGAAAGACATTTAGCACATGCGATAATACGTCGGGTTTCATGTCCCCCAGCAGGTGCTATGTGCGAAACCTTCGTGAATCCTGAGGGCTCAAGCTGCCCCACGAAGGGCTCAAGATGGCCCACAGACGGACAACATGCATGGAACATACGTGCGCACACACATATAAGTATATATATATATATATATAGATCAGCAGCAATAGTGGATGCTGTGCTGCGCTATGCTGTGCTATGCTCTGCTCTGCTCTGCTCTGCTCTGCTATGCTATGCTATGCTATGCTATGCTATGCTATGCTGCGCAAGGCTAGGCTAGGCTAGGCTAGGCTAGGCTATGCTATGCTATGCTATGCTGCGCTATGCTATGCTATGCTATGGTATGCTATGCGTTTGTTTTGCCTTCGCTTTTGCCTTCAATGTTGCCTTTGATTTTGCTTTGCTTGGCACCCGGGGAGCGCAACTGGGGGAACCGCGCGTTTGCTTTTACCTTTGCTGTTGCTTTTGCTTGGTTCCCAGGGGACTGGAGGAACCGCCCAGGGCGGTTTGCACTGCCCGGCCCCTTTAAGCCAAGCGAGTAAGAACCCTTCTAGGCAGAGCCTAGGTAGGGAACTTTTGCAAGAGTTTCACGGATTGAGGGTGGTTCCTTTTCAAAATATGGCTCTCGCTTTCGCGCCGCGCACATTCGTTTATAACTTTGCAAGAGCTTCACGGATTGAGGGCGGCTCCTTTTCAATATATATATATGGTTTCTGCCCCATCGCCGCGCACATTCGTGCATAAACATTGGAAGAGTTGCAGAGGTTCCCATGATCAACATATCAGAAGTGGTGCTTTGGAAGGATTCAAGACCATGCGGGTGCAACAGTTATGTTGCTTCGCCTGGGTAGTCGAAGCCAATCTGGCGCCAATCTGGCAGGCCCAATCTGGCAAACGGGGGCAATCTGGCGAGGGAGCCAACGCGAATCCAGTCTGGCGAACAACCCAAATCATCGAGTTTGGCCAGGCCAGATTGGCCCTTGGGGCCCAATCCAATCTGACAGTCTGGCCTTCGACTACCCAGTTCGCGGTGTCGAAGTCCCAAAACTGGAGTTCTGGTTCGATTCAGGATCGCCAAGACGCAGCGTCAGGTTGATCGGTGGCGTTGAAATCCCGAGAACAATGCTTTGGCATGCTTCACGGTCTCCAAACGGTTGTCTTCCAACGAGGCAGGTCTCTAAATGGAAATGAACCGCTGTACGGGCCTATGAAGAGGGAGCTTGGAGGAGGGGTTGTTGTCCAACATCGTTGATGACCCTTGGGTGTACACTGGTCCTCCTCTTCCTCCTCTTCCTCCTCCAACTCCTTATCCTCCTCCTCCTCCTCCTCCTCCTCCTCCTCCTCCTCCTCCTCCTCCTCCTCCTCCTCTTCCTCATCCTCCTCCTTCTCCTCCTCCTCCTCCTTCCTCCTCCTCCTCCTCCTCATCATCCTCATGCCCATCTTCCTCCTCCCTCCTCCTCCTCCTCCTCCTCCTCCTCCTCCTCCTCCTCCTCCTCCTCCTCCTCCTCCTCCTCCTCCTCCTCCTCCTCCTCCTCCTACCACCCTACTAAAGGCGGTAGCCGCCCGCCTCCTGCAATCCCATATTGTCTCCCCCTCCACTTCCCATATTTGCCGTAGCCTCCTGGGAGTCGACGATTGTCTGTGTCTATGTATGGTTTTCCTCCTGAGGTTTGTCCCTCTGCCTCCGCGCGGGAGGGGCGGCCCCCGAAGAGAGGGGGGGGGGCTTCCTGGAATCCCGATAAGCCTGGGCGGAAGCACTTGCGCCCTGCTGACGAGGCCCCACCTGCCTTCAAAGGGGCCCCCCCCCCTTTCCTGGAGGGCCGCACTGGCGCCACTAGAGGCCTGCTGGATCCTGGGTTCGGAGTCGAGATTGTCTGTGTCTATGTATGGTTTTCCTCCTGAGGTTTGTCCCTCTGCCTCCGCGCGGGAGGGGCGGCCCCCGAAGAGAGGGGGGGGGGCTTCCTGGAATCCCGATAAGCCTGGGCGGAAGCACTTGCGCCCTGCTGACGAGGCCCCACCTGCCTTCAAAGGGGCCCCCCCCCCTTTCCTGGAGGGCCGCACTGGCGCCACTAGAGGCCTGCTGGATGGGTTCGGAGTAGATGGGGTTGGGGCATCGTAGCGCATCGCCAACAATGCATCGGGGACGTCGGCGAGGAATCGGCGACGTCGGCGTGAAGCAAATCGGGCTCCGCATCGTGCCGCATCGGCGACGCGGCGCGATCCTCCGACATCGACGCCGACCTCATCGAGGAGGCCTAGATGCACCCGCCGAGTCTGGCCCTCGGGCCACCGCAAGGCTTCGTTTTGTCTTCGTTTTTGGTATTCTGTTGTTTTGTCTTCGTTTTGTCGTTGTTTTGCTTCGTTTTGCTCTACCTGTCTCGTGTTTTCTCCGTTTTGCTTCGTTTTGCTTCGTTTTGCTTCGTTTTGCTCCACCGCCACGTTGTTGCTCGTTTTGTCTTCGTTTTTTGGTCGTTTTGCTCTACCTGTTTCCCTGCACCTCCCTGCCAAAACGAAAAACCCAACCACGGCCGAAGCCCAGCACAACAGCGCTTTGGTCCAGGCCTCGGGGCCGCGGCCCGAGGGCCTGTGGCGGCCGACGGAGGCGGCCCACGGGCACCCCCAGAGGGGCTCCCCCGCCGAGACGCAGCTGCCGGAGAACACATCCCGAAGAGCGGCAGAGCTCCCCAAGAGCCGACGACGACGCCTGAACAGGGTGCGCTCCGCCGAGCCCTTGCTTAGAGGCCTCCTAGATGACTGCGTGTTTTAGAACCGGATCCAGCCATGAAAAAAAAGCATAGTTGTGTGAGCCGCCTCCGGCTTCAAAAGCACGCAGTTCTCTTAAGCCGCATCCGCCTTCAAAAGCACGCAGTTCTCCAGAGCCGACGACAACGCCTGAACAAGGTGCGCTGCGCCGAGCCCTTGCTTGGAGGCCTCCTAAATGGGGTCCGAGAAGATGGGGTCGAAGGATCGCGCAGCATCGCCGATGCATCGGCGATGCATCGGGGACGTCGGCGACGAAACGGCGACATCGGCGTGGAGAAAATCGGGCTCCGCATCGAACCGCATCGCCGACGCATCGGCATCGGCAATGCGGCGCGATCCTCCGACACCATCTTCTCCGACCCCATCTAGGAGGCCTAAATTGCTGGCATATCATGCACTAGTGGGGTGCAGTGGAGACCCATGCCAAGAAGCACCCTGCTTGCCTCCAGGGTGTCCTGGGTGTCTCTTGGGGTCCGATGGCTCTGCTACGAAAAACGTGACGTTCCCACACCAAAAACCCATGGACGTCATGGGGTCTCAGGGTTGGGTCTCCTGTGAAGGTTTCTTGTGGTCGAACCCCTAACTATTGTAGGCAGTGTTATGTCCAGACCTTGATCAGCACCCCGTCGTACTTGCGCTCGTATCTCGCCAGGGGGTCCGCCACCGACCGGCGAAGGTTCGGCCGCTCGGCGTAGGACGGCGCGTCCTCTCCGTACTCGTAAAACTTGTCGAAGGCCCAGGACACGATCCGATTGGTCTCCTCTGCAGGCGCCGCTGGGCAGCCGCCTCCCCTCTGCCCTCCGCCCTCCCCAGGAGGAAGGAGGAGGAGGAGGAGGAAGAGGAGGAGGAGGAGGAGGGGAGGAGGAGGAGGAGGAGGTGGAGGAAGAGGAGGAGGAGCAGGAGAAGAAAGAGGAGGGGCGGAGGGGAAGAACGAGGAAGGTGAGAAAGAGGGGGGAGCTGTAGACGCCTGCCGTCGGGTCAGAAATCGGCAATATGCTCATGATCCCGTACCCCCGCGAAGACCACCTAGAAACTGCCGGGGTTCAAGGAGGAGAGGGGTGGAATGAGGAGGAGGAGGAGGAGGAGAAAAAGGAGAAGGAGCAAGAGGAGGAGGTGACGGAGTAGCAAGAGGAGGAGGAGAAGAAGCGGGAGAAGGAGGAGGAGGAGGAGGAGGAGGCGCCAGAAGCACCAGCCTCCCCTCTTGTGGCACAGCCTGCTGCACAGGCCCTCACCTTCACTTGTCAGCCGCCAGCAGCCGCGGCCCCCGGACCGCCTGCCAACCCGAACGAGGAGGGTGCAAATGAAGGGGCCCAGGGACACACCAATACAATCACACAAATCCAAGGATTCCCCATATTTTCCCATAGTTGTTGGGTTTTCGTCTTCCCCCCCCCCCACTTCCCACATTTTCCCATACTTTACTGCGAATCGACGATTGATTGTGTCTGTGTGTTTCTCCCTCCTGATTAACGAGGAGGGGGTTACGGGCTGGTCATTGGGAGGGTCCAGACGACAACACACACAGTGCTACTGCCACGGATGGCATAAAACCACCCCAATCACGGTAGAACCCCGCAAGCGGCTACAATCCCCGTGATCTTAACGAGGAGGGCGTTAAGGGCTGGTCATTGGGAGGGTCCGGGCGACAACACACACACGCACACACAGTGCTACTGCCACGGATGTCATAAAACCACCCCAAACACAGTGAACCCCGCCAAGCGGCCACAATCCCCGTAATCTGGGCTGCCTCGGCAGGGAAGGGTGCCAGTCACGCGGGTGGTGGACGCTTTTGGGGCGGTCCTGTGTGGAGGTGAGGCCTGTTATGCCATCCACCCTGGCGAGAGTGGCCTCTGCCACTCCCTGGCAGGTGTGGCACGGCCACACTGCCCTCGGCGAGCGCGGCGCAATGCCACCGCTCGGTGAAGACACCCCACGCTCGGTGAAGACACCCCAGGCGGCCCCGAGGCCAGCGTGCTGGGAACCCTACGCCTGCTTGCAGCCGAGGGATCCCGCCGCTGGCCTCAGGGTCGCCTGCGGGGGCTTCCTATGGGCTGAGGGAGAGGCCCTCGGGCCTTCCGCACCGGCGAACGGAGCCAGGGGCGCAGCCGCCGCACCTACCTCGCCGTCGCCACCGCGCGTACCACCGCCGCGGCCTGGCAGCTACAATGTTCTCCCTCTTTCTCAGCTGTCCTCTGACCACCAGGGCACCCCTGCGGGGAGGGGAACCCTCGGGCACCCTCCAGGGCGGTGGCCCAATTGGACCGCGCGACCCGCAGGAGGGGGGACCCACGTTCAGGCCCTAGGGCCTTTGCGGCTTGCCGTCGCCACCCGCACCGCCACACGCCTATATCTCCCTCGTCCCTCATTACCTCCTTGTGATTGTGATTGACGTTGATGTTGCGATGCCTCTCCTCTCTCTCTCTCTCTCTCGTTCTCTCTCTCTCTCTCTCTCTCTCTCCCTTCTGTCTGTCTGCTTCTGTGCCTTCCTAATTACTTGTCTTACTCCCCAAAGGCTGGCTTCTGCCCAGCCTTGGAGAGGCGGCAGCGTTCGGAGAACACCAATGCCGTCAGTAAGTTTGAAAATCTGGAGGGGAAGGAGGAGGAGGAGGAGGAGGAGGAGGAGAAGGGGGAGGGGGAGGGGGAGCGATCCACAAACGAACCGCTGTGACTGCACTGGTCTCCTTCTCGAGCACGATGCCGCGCGCTTGCCGCACGAGTGGCGAGCGGAAGTCGCTCTCCCCGCGCCTGTAACGGAGGCCGTAGAGGGGCCCGAGCTCCGAGACGCGGAGCCTGTGAGGCGGGGCCTCGCAGAAGCGCTGGACGTCCAGAAACCGCTGGATCCCAGCCTCGAGGGGGGTCGACGCACAATGGCCTGGGTCGCCAGAAGGCAGGATCAGTCAGCCTCGAATCGACAAATATGATCGCATAGGAATGTGCAACGAATCGGGCCGCATCGGCACGAAGTGGAAATCGAATCGGATCGGCCGCGCAAAGATGCACAGCTACCTTGTGCAAGAATCGGGCCACATCGGACAGCTGGGAAATCGACATCGGGTACAGGCTCGAGGCGGGTGAACTCGGCATCGGATCGGATCTATCGAATCGGGAAAGGTCGGCAGACAGCGAGACCACGCGCTCCTGGGCGGGATGGGAGGCCCAGGTCCCCATTGGCGATGAATGGGCGTCTGGCGTGGGCCAATCCCCGCCCGTCGTTGACCCAGGGGCCTCGCGGAAAGCCTCGACGAGGCGGGTCATGCAGCCGATCGCCCGGTCGGGGAAGAGACGGGCCGCCGGGCGGAGAAAGCCAGCACCTGGGCAATCAACGCCATCGACGGCTCAGGCTCGATATCCTCGAAGGCTACGGTTGTGGCTGCGGACCCAGGAACAGCCAAAGCGGCACTCCAGAGGCCGTTAGCTCGGGCGCAGGGGGAGTGGTCCTGAGAGAAACGGGTGCTGGACTCTCACCTTGAGTAGTTTTGACGGCCCTGCGGCCCAGCCGAAAACTGCGAAGGAAACACAGGACACCGTTTCTCACGTGGAGTGTTAGAAGATTATAAGCCGACGATGATGCACATAATGTTCGAAGACAAACCCCCTCCCGACCCTCTCCTCCGACGTCGCAATTTGCTGTGATATTGTCCGCTTGGGATCTCGACCATGTTCCCAGGGCTGGCTATTCATCCAGGGGCCTCCCAACGTCGGGAAGGTCACCTTGAATCTGAGGGTACGACCACGCATAAACAGAATCGTCGCCCCCCCTGGTTTGGCTCCGAGGCGCGTTTCTCGACATCCTGGCCTCCAGGGAGGCACCGAGATGGCTCCACAGAGCAGCTCCGAGGTGCCTGGAGACCAGCTCAGGACGGCCAAACGGCCCCCTGCAGGCTCCGAGATGTCTCTCTGATGGTCCAGGAAGCCCCAACCCAAGAGACGCGGGAAGAGGCTCACCGGGAGGCACGAGAAAGCCCCCAACCATTGAAATACCCCGTCCGCCGCAGTTGTGCACAAGTGTAACGGGGGCGCCTGGGCTGGGGCGCACAATGGTTGTCTCTGAAGCCAATGCAGAGCAGTAGAGGCCTCCCATATGGGTTCCGAGCTGATGGGGTCGGAGGATCGCGAAGCATCGCCGACGCATCGACGACCCGGGCGATGCATCGTCGGCGACGGCGTGAAGAGAAATCGGGCTCCACAGCGAGCCGCATCGCCGATGCGTCGGCGAGGCGGAAGGACCCTCCGACCCCACCCGGGAGGCCAGAGGAGCGCTGGTGGGTCGGCCCGCCGCAGGGCGACCTTGTGCGTTGCGCAGGTCCGCCGAGGGTCCGCCCGGCGCCCCCGCCTCGCGTGAGTATCGTTTCACCGATCCCCATCCCCAGCGGCGTGGCCTGGGCCCCACGGGCGATTTTACCCCCCTGGATGGGGATGCAGGTCGTTCCCTTCGGGCTTCGGGGGGTGCATCCCAAATGGGGGTGGTAATTTGGATGGGGGTCTCGAAGGGGAAGGGGATGGGGATGGGGATGGGGACTGGTTGCACGATATCGATCGCGGGCGCCGCCGGGCGAGTCGGCCGAGGCCTCGCCCACTGGCCGCTGGCGGGCGCCCCCGGGCGCCTCTCGCGGGCGCCTCTCGTGGGCGCCTCGAGCAGCTGGGGCCTCGGACAGTTTTTGACTCGCGGGTCGAGAGCGCACCTCTTCCGGTCGAAGCTCAGCGGGCCGCGCGACAAGGGCCTCGGACAGACCACGCCGCAGTCGTGGCATCGGAGGCCAAGCGGCGGGACCGGGCGATCCCTGTCTCGGTCTTCACTTCTTCCGCGCGCCAAACGGATGCCGTCCGCGCACGAGCGAAAGCGCAGCCGCGGCCGCCCCAGCTCAGCAGGCGCCCTGGGTCTGGCATGCTCAAGAGTCCGTGGGACAAGAGGTCTGTCCCGGAACTTCTGGGCCGCTCGGCCGCGCAAACGTGCGGAACGGCCAACCCGCGCATGCCTACGATTCTAGGGCGGGCTCCCCTTTGCGACACGTCACGACACGTTGCGACACCACACCGCTGTTCGGAGGACAGATAGCCTTCTGAGAACTGCAACCCCGCGCGGCTCTGCACATGCGACGTGACCTCGCGCGTTCGACACGGGGTCACCACGGCGCAGCGTCGGATCTCAAAAGCAAGCCCGGCGCCTCGGTCGGTGGGGCCGCATCATGACGGCGGCCCCACAGGCCTGAAGCGAAAAGCGCCCGCCCTCTTCTGAACGGGGCGCCCACAGCTTCATTTCCCCGTGGCCTGCCCTCACGCACCGATCCGTTCGCAACGGTACGTCGGACAGCAGATACTTCCTGTCGCGCCTCCTCTGCGCGCTGGAAACGCAAGTGGTATGCCGCGATTGGGACTCGTGAGTGGTGCTGCGCGGTACGGAAGGCGCCGCGCGGCGGAGCTGTCGGGCGGCCTCATGCGGAGACGCAGCACTCCACTGCAGCGACGTGTGGTTCGTGCTCGTCTGGCAAGCCCGTACTTGGTGCGCCGCGGCGCAGCAGAAAGCCGCTCTTCGTCGGCTCTGGAGCGCTCTGCTGTGGTGCCCTTCAGGCGCCGCGGACTTCGAGAACACGTCTACCGACGTAGCGCACCAGAACGCGGTGCAGAGCATCCAGGCGGTGGACGCGATGCACGTGCTCATGCTGGAGTGGGCGCTGGAGACGGGGGGCATTGCGGGCGCCCGTGCGTCCACAGAAGGTGTCCCCGAAGAGTCCGCGCACGTCGTCCGCGGCGGGGCGCAGACTCCGCGCAGACGGCCCGCGCCACCTGAGCGCGCACCCCGGTGAACTTGATCCGCGGGTTCCCCGTCCTGCGGGGGACAAGCCGGGGATACGCCCCCGCGACGCCGTCCTCGGCGCGTGGGGCGAGGAAGCGTCGGAGGCGATGACGGCGATGTCGGGCTCGTTCTCCGCGGCGGCTGAGTCGGACGCCAACGCCCAGCTCTCTTCGCCCCCGCGCGGCGCCGGGGGTCTTCAGCTCAAGATCGCGGGGGTGCTTTCCCGGGGCGCGGCGCACATGACTCCGTCGCCGCGCGCTGTCTCGTCGGCGCCCGCGCCCTGGCAGTGGCTGCAGAGCCTGCTGGAAGAGCTCGCGACGCAGCGCGGAGGGCTGCTGCCGCCGGCGCCGCTTCGCACTGCCTTCTGCGGCTCCGCGGTAACGGCCACCGCGTTGCCGAGAAAGTGTCACGGCTTCTATGCCATGGACGACCGTCTCGGATAGCGGCCGCGCTCAGGGGCCACCCCTTGCGCACCCCCTTATGGTGTCGAAAAAGTGCCACGCCTGCTATGCCCTGGACGACCGTCTTGGATAGCGGCCGCGCTCAGGGACCACCCCCTGCGCACCCCCTATGGCGTCGAGAAGGTGCCACGCTTGCTATGCCCTGGACGACCGTCTCGGATAGCGGCCGCGCTCAGGGACCACCACCTGCGCACCCCCTATGATGTCGAGAAAGTGCCACGCCTGCTATGCCCTGAACGACCGTCTCGGATAGCGGCCACGCTCAGGGACCACCCCCTGCGCACCCCCCCATGGTGTCGAGAAAGTGCAACGCCTGCTATGCCCTGGACCACCGCCTTGGATAGCGGCCGCGCTCAGGACCACCCCCTGCGCACCCATAGCGGCCGCGCTCAGGGACCACCCCCTGCGCACCCCCTTATGGTGTCGAGAAAGTGCCACGCCGTCTATGCCCTGGACGACCGTCTCGGATAGCGGCCGCGCTCAGGGACCACCCCCTGCGCACCCCCTATGGTGTCGAGAAAGTGCCACGCCTGCTCTGCCCTGCTGTGCTGAGCTGAGCTGTGCTGTGCTGTGCTGTGCTGTGCTGCGCTGTGCTGCGCAATGTGAGAAGGGGGAAGAGAATTGAAGTGAGGGGGGGCGCGGGCGCGGCGGGGCATGGAAGAAAACCAGAACCCCGCTAAGCACGTGGGGGAAAACCGACCCCAGCTTCACACAGTGTCTGCCCAGGCCAGACGGACGGATCCTCCACGTCTTTCGACAATCGCACGGCAGCTGGGAAGCAGACTGTTCGAATGGGGATGATCACGAGCGCTAGTCTCCACTATCGAGACGAACTCTAGCTGTGGACAATCAAGGAGCTGCGAAGCACACGCCAGGAAACCGCACCCTCCTATTTTTGCTTCTATTTCTCCTCCTCGTCCTCGTCCTCTTCATCCTTTTCCTCCTCCTCCTTCTCCTCCTCCTGTTCATCATCCTCCGCCTCCTCCTTCCCCTCCTCATCATCTTCCTCCTTCTCCGTCTCTTCCTCCTCCTCCTCTTCCTCCTTTTCGTTTCCCCTCCTCCTCCTTCTGCTCCTCCTCCTCATCATCATCCCCCTCCTTCTCCTCCTCCTTCTCCATCATCCATTGTCATGTTTATCATTTTCCTCCTCATTCCTTTTCATCCACCACCACCTCCTTCCCTTTTCCTCCTTTTCGTTCTCCTCCTCCTCCTCATCATCCTTCTCCTCTTCTTTCTCTTTCTCCTCCTCCTCCTCTTCCTCCTCCTCCTCCTCCTCCTCCTCCTGCTCCTGCTCCTACTCGTGTTCCTGCTCCTGATCCTGCTTCTGCTTTTGCTCCGCCTCCAGCTCCGTTGCTGCTCCTGCTCCTGGTTTGGCTCCTCCTCGTGCTCCTGCTCACGCCCCTGTTCCGTCCCCATCCACCTCCTCCTCCCCATCCTGCCCCTCCTCCTCTTTCCCCTCCTCATCCTCCTTCCCCTCCGCATCCTCCTCCTCCTCATCATCATCATCATCATCATCATCATCGTCATCATCATCATCATACTCCACGCACAGACAGACACGCGCACGCGCGCGCGCACAGAACCGCGAACGCAGCGGGGGTCCTCCGAGGCCCCCCGACACGCGCCTGCACAAAAGAACCACGACGTCGCGGCAACTCGAACAACTTGTCACCCGCGCACCGACCAAAAAAAAACAAAACAACATTTCAGGAAGTCCGACACGCAGCGCCCGCCGACACCCATGCACCCAGGCGCACAACGACGATTGCCGCGCGCGCATGCCATTCGTGCACATCGCAAGGAAGCTCTACGAGTTCTCGGCGGTAACCAAGGTTTACGGCTTACCGCCGGCTTCCAGTAGGCCCACCAGACCCCGGCGGACAATGCGACGAGCTCGAGCGGTTTTTTCTCGTAGAGCTCCTCGGCAACAATGAGCTAGAGGAAGTCCGGGATGGAGCCAATGACTCGTAGAGCTTCCCTAAGAGCGGAGCGGCGAAGCTAGAGAGTAATTCCGGCGCGCTCGCGGTATAGTTGGCCGAAAATTATCGACGGGAGTTTTGTCTTTTTGGGGCCGATTTAAAACTCGTTTCTCTAATTTTGACAACCCGGTAGAGCTGTAATATTGTTTCCCTACCTTCGATATGAATCCCGCCGCTCGCCATAATGATCTCAAGTCGATCGGGCGGATATTACGATCGAAAAGAACTCAGGCGGGATCGGCTGTTGAGTATCATCTCGGCAGGTGATGTTGGCGTGCAACGGAGCTGCAGGGCAATCGAAAGGAAAGCATCAGAAGAGCTAGTCTCAAGCATCTAGATGCCCAAGATCGGTCTGCTTCCAGACTTCGGACCACAAACAGCATCTGCACTCTGTCAACTGCTTCAGAGATGATAACTGGGAGCCGGCGGTAAACCGCCACCCATGTTTTGCGGTTTGCGGCCTCGCTAATCAGGCGCTCATGGGGAAGCGAGCAGGCTCCAATAAGCCAGGAAAACGACCTTCAAGTAAAAGCGACCTTCTTGAGGAGCATGTATATACAGAGCAAATGAGATCACATACAAGCGACCTGCTTTGAGGCAATTGCACTGTCGATCAGAACTACGAGCGACTTACTTTGAGGCACCAAGTAACAAGTCATAATGATTGAAACGACCTTGATAAATGAATTAACTGTCAATGACTCGATGTTGAACGTCCCAATGTCTCAATAAGCGCAAAATTTCATGAATAGAATTGACAGCGGCACCCCAAACGAGTCCGAAAAGAGAAAGGGCCACACACAGCCCAGCAATACCAAGTTCGAATCAGCGCACAATGCAATGAAACTGCCGAGCCAGGGTGGCCTAGGCATCTGGATTGAGAAGTGCCGAGCCAGGGTGGCTTAGGCACGTCGACATCCACATCGGCATGAACTTCAGTTGCTCCAGTGCGTCACTAGCCACGGGGCCTCCACCGCCACCCCAACAGCTCCGGAACCAGGTACTGCGAGCGCTTTGGCTTCACAAGTAACACAAGTCAACCAGGTTTTTGTTTGCGTCTTTGCTGGGACCGTCTTGGCCACTGAGGCCAGGTCCAACGAAGTCTCAGGCGAATCAGAGCCTCTTATTCATCACGCAAGCAGTCAGCTCTTATTTCACATCAGCGAAGCTGTTGGAATAAAGAGAATCAAAAGCCTGCAACGACACAATCAATCGCAAAGCACACAAATGACAATCGAAGAACAAATAAACAGCGAAGCAATTAGAATATACAACAAGACAAAGTATGAGATGCAACAATGTGCGACTTATCACTGCGAATGATCAAAAAAGGTCTGCACAACCTGTGGGAGAACATCGCATATGCGCTCCGCCGCTGATAACTCCGTATCTGTGACCGTGGCACTGGGTGGCAGACACCAAGCCGCAAGATACACATCCTTGAAAGTGATGTCGGTCCGCGAAAAGATATACTTGTTACGCAGACCTATTTGTATCCACGCGCCACGGGCACTTCCGCGGCTGCAAACACCCCCATCAAAGCCAGCTTTGATAAGGCAAGGAGTCAAACACTGAGATTCGAAATCACTGAGATAAAAAGAAATCTGCGCACACATGGCCCTGACGGGCCTGATGGGTCAGCAAGTCAGCCCTCTGGTTCCATTCCCGAAAAGAATGAGAGAAGAAGTCACGGCCAGCCTCTGGAGGCCTCAAAGAAGTATGTATCCTGCATCTCGTCCAACTTATTAATCAGAGTGTCTACCCTTTTCTGATATACCTGAGCTAATACTTTCCATTCCCCACAGAGCCAGTTAATCACAAGCAGTGAATCCCCCTGGATGTCCAGTGGTATCCCATTCGTTTCGAGGTCCCACTGTGTGCAGCGCATGTTATGCAGCGCGATACGTTTGCTAAGTCGATCCCTATATGCTGGTGTATCCTCCCGATCCTGACCAATATGAACCCCTCCGTCCTCATCCATATTCAAGAACACAGGCACCCCTGAGGACGCCAAGCCTTTGCATTTCATTTGGCAATACTTCAACATACTACTAGAACAAACATGCGCAGCGAAATCCATGAAATGTGCAAAGCTCCCAACAAAGAACTCCCACCAGAATTAACCATAAAACGATTCCAAAGAATAATACCAAGAACGAAGTCCTACACTCTCCTGTCCCCCACAATGTCGTTTCAGTGAGCTGACCTCCTTCCATTTCCCCCAACATCTGAGAGCCCCGCTTGAATCTGTCCTCGTTCTATCCCACAGCCGGCCAAACGCCAGGCATAAGAAACGAGAATCTCTCCAAGCTCTTGTCGAGTTCGCCTCCAGCGCCTCCTGATCTGCGATCAACCTCTGGGCAAAATCGTGGACGTCGATTGCCCACATCCAGTGCCCTCTGAGAAACTTCTGTACAATACCCACATAATGTGCATCATGAATTATTGGCCCCGCACGTTCATACCTCCTGGCATTCCACTCCCGATGACTTTCCTCCTCCCTCCGTACACAACGAGACATGACAGCCAGGCACTTACCCTCATAGATATGAAGGACACTCAATGAGTTAGAGTCGAAAGTACATCCTTCCGCCGCGTATAGAACAATACTCTGAACCCTCTGTGCATACCTCTCATACTTATGTTTCAGCGGAATGGCCGTGGAGCGGAAGAAGGACGCCTGGCCCCAGAACGCCCTTCGAGCAGAGTCAATACTAGCATCCAGATCTGGATGCTCATGCACACGTAGTTCAGAACAACTGTGGGCCCGAAGCACCTCCATCTCCGTCGCTCTTCTGAATCAATACACTCCCGAATCCTCCGACCCAATCGAAAGAACAAGATCAGCAGCTCGTAATATTTCCCCTTCCGCATCACGCGGAGGAGCAGCACAGAACACCATGTGCAGTAGACTGGACTCCTTCCATCTCATACCAT